TGCAGCCTCCTAAACACACATTGGAATGTTTGTCATGTCCGTGAAAGTTGAATTGTTGGGCATGTTGAGAACACCAGCTTGAACAGGCTGGAAAAGATGTAAAATACATTCCAATGTGATCTTTGAAACAAGGCATCTTGAACATTGTGTTTCAGTTCTGCAGAATGAGGGTGAAAATAGAAGTTAAAGAAAACATGGGCGGCTGCCAAAATCTGCATCCCTGCTGTGTGTTCTGGCAGCAACTACCACTGCCAGGGATGAGAAAAGGTAATAGGAGAACTCAGTATGATGGTATTATGTCACACGGCATATTTCACAACATATTTTTAGGAAGAGGGCTATGGCATTAAAATTGCTTTGGATTGCTTGATGAAGTTTTGTTACAGAGAGGGAGTGTGACTATTGTTTTTATCAGCCATCAACCATATTATATTATTCTGTATTGTCTCAGGGACACGGGAATGGATCTGCACTTGCTTTGCAGCTGTTCCCTTCTGATCTTTTGGACTGATTTTTTACCCTGTTATTTGGGGCAGTTTATACAGAGCTCCTGGGTCTCCATTCTATCTTCATTCCTTTTTACGTCTACATGAAATAATTGAGGGAGTTCTTCAGGATTTTTGGTACCGAGTACAATCACTATACTGCTTACATCCAATGTGCCACAACAACTTTTTCAAAGCGGTGCAGTTTTCTGAGATGACTACCTTCTGGCGGCTATCAGCTGGCTTAAGGAAGATAAACTGAAGCTGGCTCCAAACAAGATTGTGGTGCTGACTGTGTGGAATCATGATTCTAGAAATGTGGTCATACTTCCTGCTCTTGATAGGATTATACATCTTCAGAAAGGACAGGTCCACATTCTGGTTCCAGGTCTTTCTCTGGTACCTCGAACTGAGAGAACAGCCAGGAGAATTTGTTTTAAACCAGGCTTAGCCAATGAACCACCTCTGTCCATTTCTAAAGAAAGTTATTTTAAAGCACTGGCACATCTGCCAGTAACTTGAAGGTTGGACTTCAAGTTACTGGCAGACTGCAACCTGTTGTGCATGAGTCTGAATGGAGAGGTGGTAGGAAAAAAATCAGTTGGCTCAAAATTTGGCAGCCTGGTTGGTTCAAAGGCTGCCGGTTAGTTTCCTGGCAAAATGCAGAAGCGCTGACCGTTATTTAAAGCCCTGGACCCTTCAGGCCCAGGCTATTGAAGAAATGCTGCAATAGCTGCTAATTCTCCTAGCAGAAATTCAAGGTCAGGCCTTCTCTGGAATGACCTCTGAGATTTAGAATACGCTCCTTAGTCTTTGGGTTGCTTGAAGGAGGCTTTAGAAGTAGATGTCACTGACCAGGCTTTTAGTTAATATTGGTTTTGATGATTTTTTGGTGGGGAATGTTGCTGGTTTATATCACCAGCAACATTCTCCACCAAATGAAACAATTTAAAATAAGGGGGGGGGGAACCCTCTAAATTCAGAGTTCAAAAAATTTAGAGGGTTTTTTCCCCCTTATTGTAAATTGTTTCATTTGGTGGGAAATGTTGCTGGTTATTTTTTATATATATAAAATAATTGTGTGTGTGTTCTACCTGAAATTCCTCTGTCTTGTCGATAGAGCTGACTTCCCAATAACTTCCTGAAGGTCAATTGCAGCACTAATTATTCCAGTAAAAGAATTGTCATGAATGCTGTGTTTCAGCACAATTCCCTCCCTCCCCCACCCCTCCAAAATGTGCAAAATGACATACAGTCAGCCATTCATGTCCCAGGGTGGCAGCTTGGTGAGAAGAATTATAGATAATAGTCTTTAAGCAGCCACCTTCTGTGTTCATGGTTACTTGCAAATGATTGTCTCATTGCTGTAACTTTGCCATCACACAGATGTGAGCACAGGACTAATTATTTTCAGTGGCTGAAGGTCTATGAGCAAGCCTAATTGCATAGTTATAATTCATAACATCACAGTTGCTCACAAAGAACCCTTGTTTATTCTAAGAACTGTCTTTCTTAGCAGCCCACTCCTTTGCAACCATATATTAAATATATTGAATATCTAATGTTGGTAAACAGCTAGAGCTGTAGTATACTGTTTTCTTCAAGAGTAAACTTCTGCTCTACTCTTTTGAAAGCTATATACCCATGAAGATGGACAAACCAGTGAACAGAGTAGCTGTTACCTTACTCCTGTGCAGGACATAGCCAGAGGACACATGATATAACCATTTTGCTGAAATTAATGCTTGGTTTGAATCTGTAACTTAGATGAGAAAATACTGAGGATTCCTTCTTACAGTATATTACTAGAGATTCCATAGTAGAAAGGAAGGCATATGTGCTGTAAATAAATACAGGGTGGATATGCTTCCTGCAGAAACCTTTCATATATTCCTGTTTAGAAAGTACTTGTATTTTGTTGAGATTGCCAGACTACCATGAAAGAGCACTTGCGTGAGCTGCTTTAGACAACCAATTCTAAATGATTCATGCATTCTTCATAGTCCCACACAGATGTAGTTTTTGGTCTGCTCACATAAGGGATGCTGAATTTGAACAAAGGTTGCAATGTTTATTTAACTAATGGGTGAGTTTCAGTTGGACTGCCTCCCAGATAAACATGTATAGGATTATGGTTTTCCATCAGCATAGAAAAAACTCATAATGACTCTTTGCTCAAGCATCATCTCTCTTTTCATTTTTTTCTTTTTTAAAAAAAGGAGCTTAAACAATGATAGCTTAACATCTGTGTCATTTCATGCCCAGCCCTTGGAGGGCTGGAACTTGTTTGTCTTTCGTTCTTCCTCTCATCTGCCCATATTATCCCAAAAGATGTCTATTTCAGTTGTCACACATGTAACATGCTGTTATATGTAGGTAAGTAGTGCAAATTATTTTAGCCTTTGTTGTGCTGCAGTGTTGAGTTGCAAATGCGTTTTTGTTCCTCCTCCTCAGAAGGTATCAGAACTGCTTGCAGTGAGTCACTCATCTGTCAGTTAAGGGAGAACTTGGAACTCTGGTGCTGATATTATGAAAAGAGAGGAAGCGTTTTGGAGATAACAAAGCACAAGAATGGAGAGGTTACAAAAATGAAATTGCAGTTCTCATCTTTAGAGCAAATTTATTAGTATAAAGGCTGGGGATGAATTATAGCTAAGGCACCAGATGAGTATTGGGTGCCAGAAGCCAAGCTAGTGAAAATAAAGCATTTAGAAACCAAAAACAGACTTTCTCGTATGTTTTTATCACTGACTTCTCAGCAGGTGAATGTGCACATTAATTCTGTTTGTAGACCTCCCAGTGAAGGGCATCTTCTGGGCAGTGTAGAGGTGAATTAAAAATGTGAAATGCGATACACTAAACACTGGCAAAGGTAATACATAATAAAATCAAGGCAAAGCTAGCATCAACTGATAAAAACAATACAACATTCACAATCAAGGGAACTGAGCAGCAAAATAAAATGCGTACTTGAAACAGTGTTATCATTCCTGTTGGCATTAGCTGAAAACAGAGTCTTATCATGTAATATCTGCAGAGGTATGGGTGTGTCAGAGAGCATAGGATATACGTATGCTTTCTTGCTCTATCTTCCAAGGAGCTCAAGGTAAACTTTAAGCACTACACCACGCTAATGTCATTCTGTTGTTTTACCTCAAGCCAGCCAGTCTGAGGGCTGCAGGGGGCTCCCAGCACCCCATTTGAAACCCCCCAGAGCTTCCCAGGGTGGGTGGGGTGGGCTGACGAATTAGGACTTTTTCATTATTTGGGAGAAAAACTTTAAGACGTGGAACTGATATCTTATAGGTGGCAGAGGGTTAATATTCCAGTAGCTCTTCTGAAGAAGTCAGGGAGAATAAAAGGGCATTGCCATTATTTTTATCATGCCATTTGTGTACATAGTGCTTTCTAGAGAATAGTTATGATTGTCCCAAAGGGCTTAAGGTTTTAAAGTAAGCTCGTGGAAAATGAAATTGAGTCTGGGATGGTTAGGCAGAAAAGTGCTATAGGAGTACTGA